TCTCAGGCCACCTGGAATTCAGGCCCTGTGATATGTGCATGTGTGATCCTACAATGTGACATTGGATGCCTGTAATGAGACCTTAGAGGGTCTGTTAGGCACACAAGTTAGTTTCACAGTACAAGAGACCTGTGTCCCTTGATAGAAAAAATGTTTTCATTGACCCGCTACAAAAAACAGAAGTAGTCAGTAAAACTTGGCTGAAAGGACTGAAATCGCACACAGATGGCAGCATATAAATGTATACCACATAAGTAAAAACAAAAACAAACTTAGCAACCAAAAAGAAAAAGGAGAAAAAGGACAATGTCTGCTGACACTCACTACTCCATATAAGAACAAATATAAGGCATTAATTAGCCTGCCCCATGAATCATGTTTCAACAGGGGAAAACAAAACAGCCCTCACAGCTTTCACCTAGGTAACGAAAAAGCCTGATGAAACAGGCTGAGCAGGAGGTTGATGCTCAATCCACAGCCTGCAAGTAAAGGTTGACCAACACAAATTGCCTCTGTCAACCACAGGAACACTGTTGACACCGAATTTCAAAGCACTTCAACAAGAGGAGGTGGGGACCATACATGATGCATGCCAAGACAGATATGCTAAACTATTTATAGGCCATGGGAAATACCCTAATAATTAACCACTACATGTGTGATCCAAACACTGGGAGGAGCCAGCAGCCCAGTCACAAATAAATTATGGCCTTTTCAGGTGAAATCTAGTGTTCACCTGCACTGTATGAACAATATAGTGACTACACGAAGATTTGAAATTTTTAAGTGTCTCATAATATCTGCTTAAACATTTGAAAAAGAAATACGACTTTCACATGAACAGGTCAGGCAGAAAAAGGTTTATTATATTTATGTAATAAATGTATAATGGTTACACATCAAAAGGTCTTAGTACCACTATGACATAAAATGTATATTTTACTGTTTTGTACAGAAAGTAATAGATATTGGTGAAAGGTAGACCGACAACAGAATTAAATGTGTAAATGTAAAATGTAACAAAAAAAAACTCCTTTGACATATTTCGCAATTTTTCACTGCTCGCTAAAACATGATAGTATTCTGTTATGATTTGAGATGGTAATGTAATCTTTTTCCTCCATTATCTAGCAATTATCAAAGTTTTCTCTTGAACAACAAATGCCAATTTACACTTACTGCTATTAGTATAAATTTTCATAAGTTTAATAATGGATACTGAAAGGCTCAAACATAGTCATATTTCATGTTTGATCTCCTGCCATCTTCACTACGAGCCTTGTAGGAGTCATTGTAAATTTGTCTTTGTCTGTCCTCTGATTTGTAGATTGTATTATGGGAGGGAGCTTTATAAGACACTGCATGGAACCTGAATTAAAATGGAGAAAACAGAGACAAAAATGGAGTGATATTAGATTATGACATTTTATCCTATCAAAACTGATCTTGGATACATTTAAGGAAATCATTTAAAATAACATTTATCTTTAATCTATGTGGTTTAACGTTTTTACATCTTAATTTAGCTGAATAGAATTACAGAGAACTTATTCCTCAAATGTACATAAACCAAACTAAAACTTACTGAGATTTTTCAGGTTGAAGTCCCTTACAAGCCACACACATCATAACTCCACCCACTGTTAAGATGCCCCCTGCCACCCAGCCTACAAAAAGGGCAGGTCCAAAAGTGTACCTGAAACAAGAGAAACACTATATAATAATCTAAAATATCTACAGTATCACATTACTTAAACAGACTTAGATGACATCTTTAGTACACTAAGCCATGCATGTATATATGTATTGGTTCTGTTTGCAGTGGTGGTTTAATGGTTAGGGAAGTGCACTTGTAATTGAAAGATTGCAGATTTAAATCCCCGACCAGCAAGGCACCACTGAGGTACCCTGAGCAAGGTACCGCCCCCAAGCACTGCACCCCCGCGGCTTAATTAGCTGCCCTCTGCTATGTCACAACGTCACATATGGGTTAAATGCAGAGGACACATTTTGTTGTTGTGCATTGTGTCCTGTGGTGTGTCAACAATGACCACTGATCTCTAAATTCTGTACTGTAAATCCTATGTGCTGAACCACACTTCTTGTTGAATGTACCTTATAGGACTCTGGACAAACTTTGTCACAAGCATTTCATACATTATAGCATCATATTTTATAAGCAGTACATGTAAAGCATAGATAGCAACAAATATGATGGTTTTATTCAGAGTCACTAAGTCTCCGTAGGAAAACAATGTTCAAAATATGGAATTTTCTTTTACCTAGGAGTTAGTGGTGCCCCAATTCCTCCAATTCCCATTCCTGCCATTGAGCCCATTCCTCCAAATTCTGTAGTGCTGAAGGTGGTCATCATAAAACTGCTCACAACGAAATTAGCGAAGACTGAAACTCCAGCAATTGTACAAATGCCTGAAAGAAATAGACTATTCATTTAAAAATGGTAAGACTTTGGGTTACAATAGGTTAAAGACAGAAATTACTCTACCTGAGAGAATAAACATGATTCCAGATGTTAGTGTCAAGTTAGCCTTGACTGTGTCTTCCATACCACCCATTTTAATACACTTCAAAGCAAAAATGGCTATAAGGGCTGCTATTCCTGCAAGAACAACTCCAACTATCATCAAGGCTCTCACAGCTTGGAAGAGACCTGTAAAAAAAAATGTGGTTATAATGGGAATAAATTTTAAATAAATGAAGATGTTTCCTGAAAAGCAAAGCTGCAATACTCTATCTTATCTATCATTTTATGTAATTTGCTCTTTTAAGTACAATTGGCACATTTTTAAAAATCCTTGCAGTCAGTGACAGCCTGAAGGTTGGAACCCAATGCTGGGTCTCCTCCCTAGTGATACCTTGCCAGCTGTCTTGAGCTGGTGCCTGTTTGTTGGTCTTTCTGCTGTTACGTCGGCATGTGTATGTGCATGTATTCATTTTTCCCTTTGAGATCCCGTTCTGCAAGTCTGCTGATCCGGATCCACATTTTCCACTTCTCACCATGAAAGCAGTGTGAAAACTGGATGAACTGGTTTTTTGTCGCCTTGTTCCCATTTCCTGCCTCTTCAGTCATTGACTATAAAAGACACCTCACCACCCCATTTGATATCTTTTTGCTCGTGCTTTCTGTCTTTGCTTTTGTGTTTGCTTACTGTATTTCTGACCTACTGTTACGACCTATTTTTGGCTCTCGAGTCTCACGCTTTTGGATTTCGATTCGGTTTTGGTTATTTGGCTTTGGTGTTTGTTTAGTCCAGGTGAATCAATTTAGAAATCACCGCCTACAGCTGATGAGCAAGCACCTTAGTGAGCAGCTTAACATCGGAATTCATCAAGAATAATGGGTGATAGCTGGAACAGTCTGTGGGGTCTTTGCCTTAAGAACATAAGAACATAAGAACATAAGAACTATACAAACGAGAGGAGGCCATTCGGCCCATCGAGCTCGCTTGGGGAGAACTTAACTAATAGCTCAGAGTTGTNAGATAGCAGAATAAGCAAGGGGAAGAGAGCTAATTTCATACATGAAAAAGGGGGTGATAGTGGGAATTAGGATGTTTTTAATCTGTATCACATGAAGGGTAGTGACATGACCATATACCATATTGATGAAATAGTAGTTATCCTCAGAGAAGAGCCTATTAAAAAAGAACTAAAAATAAATGGACAAAATGTAACCTATGAAGTGGACACTGGCTGTGGATACACCATAATGTGAAAGAGGGAATTTAACAAACCCAAGCTAGCCAAGTGCAGGATAAAGCTCAGAACATATGGTGGTAATAGAGTTCCAGTATTAGGAGCAGCTAAAGTCAAAGTGGAACATGAAGGCATCAGCAAGATGTTAGCAGTAGAGATTGTCAAAGGTTCAGGGACAAGTCTAGTTGGACAAGGTTGGATTAAAGCTATGAAGTTACACTGGTAGCCTGTACATAACATAAGGGAGAGGGAGGATCCTCTATATGAAGTGCTTTTGAAACATGAAACAGTGTTTAAGGATAAGTTAGGGAGGCCGAAAGACTTCACAGCAAAAATACATGTAGCCAGGGATGCCACACCCTACTTCTATAAGCCAAGGTCAGTGCCTTGTGCTATGAAGAAGAAAGTAGAGCTGGAGTTAGAGAGGCTCTTGCAGGAAAAAAATACACATATAGCCGGTGAAGTTCCCAGAATGGGCAGCACCCATAGTACCAGTCCTCAAACCAAACTCCAGGGCACAAATTTGTGGATACTACAAGCTAACAGTAAACACTGTGTGTCACCAATTGAACAGTACCCCATTGCAAAGATAGAGGACATGATAACTTGTTTAACATGCAGGAGAAAATACAATAAGTGAGACATCAGCCATGCATGTCAACAGATTGTACTGGATGAAGAATCAAGAAAATATGTCACTGTAAACACACAGAAGGGGCTGTTCACATACACATGACTACCCTTTGGTGTGAGTTCCAGTCTAGTCATCTTCCAGCATACTATGGAGGGTGTACTGCATGGAATCAAGAATGTTGCAGTATACCTGGCAAAAAGTTACATGTGGTGGTCTCAAATGGATATGGACACAGAAAACAAGGTAAAGTCATGCACTACATGCCAAGGACATAGAAAGGCACCTGCATGGGCACCACTTCATCCCTGGGAGTGGCCTGAGTGTTAATTCAAGAAACACACCACCATAAACTTATGGAAATTACAGTCTATATTCTCGATCCAACATCCGTTGTCCACATGCTACACTCGACGATCGCTCCGCCCCCTCCCCAACACACGTGAGCAATCCCAACAACCACCGCGATATACAAAATATTTGAACACACAACTGAACAATTAAAAGCTAACATGAACAGTCTAAACATTAACATTTTCTTTTGTAAAACATAAACATGACAACAATCTCACTCTTCCTTTTTTTTTTTACAAGTGCCATACTTAAGAGTAGCAGAGCAGTTGCCCCTTTCTTGGTCAAACAGTTTGCAAGTTGTGTCTTGGTAGGTGACCACATCACACTCTGGACCTTTTCACCTTCGATCGTTTCTCAGTAACAGATTTTGTGGATCTGATAGCATCAGCTAGGGAATGGTTGTCTGTGATACAGGTTATGGGTAACCTCAGTCCATCTACATCACCTGTGATGAGCTCTGAATACAGTGTAGAAAGGAATATTGCATTATCAATGCCATCAGCCAATGCAAGAGTTTCTCCAGCAAAGCTACTGCGAACAACCCTCCTTATTTTCTTCAACTGCCAACATAGTGGTGAGAACTTGCCATCCTGTCCCATGAGCATGATGAAGTGCCCACCTTGTGTGCCTCCATCCGGTAAATTTCCCAGCGATGCATCACTGAAAAGAACAAGCTTCAGTTTTTCTTGTTTTCACAAAAACTGAAACTTCAGCTTCACACAGTCAGTTTTCAATTTTCTCACAATTTTATTGCCGTCATGAAGGTCTTGTACCGTGGCATGTTTCACTGATGAAGCTAGGTAACACACATCGAACATGACATCAGGTCAACTCTGTCTTGCTATCCAGAGAAGCTGACCAACCTTAGATCTAAGTTGATCTACCTTAGCTTCATCAAGTACAGAATCACGCTGTAAAGCCCGAGTGGATAGAGGACAAACTCTTAGCATATCTTTCTTGCTGTACAAAGACAGTGTCATTGTCTGTGGAAACTTCCATGCCAATGTAACAGAAATGATCCATCTCCTCTCTGCCAACCTGAAAAGCATTTTTCATGTGAGAAATCACAGTGCCAGAGAAATCAGTTGTGCCTCCCCAAATGAAATCATCCACATGACATCCACGTACTCCGTTAACATTGCCCTTCTGATTCAACCAGTAAAACACAGCAGGATCCACCTGAGACACCATGCCCCCTGTTTTAAACACAGCGTATCTCATTCTTTTGTACCAATATAGTGAGGCATCCGCAAGTCCATAAACACATTTTTGAAGTTTCCAAAGCTTGCCAACACAGTTAGCTTCGGGTGGAGGATGAATGGAGATGTCACGGTCTAATGAAACCCTTTGCAGAAACGCAGATTTTATGTCCAAAGAATTGAGTTTCCACTTATTCTGGCACATCACAGACAGAAGAAATCTAAAAGATTCAGATGCACATGTTGGAGAATCCATAGGACGTTGCTAAATTTCAAGCTCTTCAAAGCCTCTAGCTACCAGCCGTGGCTTTGCTACAAGTCCATTTGAGGTCTCTTTCATTGTGCAGACCCATCTTGTTGAAATGCATTTTTGCCAACATCTATGACCTCTTCAAAAACATTATTATTCTTCCAATTACCTAACTCAGCCTGTTTTGCTACTTCAAGTGACGCATCATCCATCACAAGCATATCTTCCTCTTGACTGAATTGAGTCTCTGAGGTTTGAAATGGTCCAGTGCGAAGATTGTCCACACGTGACAAGTCAGCTGATCCAGATGTACCAGGAATACTAGCTGGTTCTGAATACTTCAAGTTGTACCAGTTACTCAGTTTTCCAGTTGTCTTTCCTGCACAACCAAGAATTTCAGCTGTGCAGCTACTTCCATTCTCTTTGCCAACATACTGAACAACCTGTCCTTTCCTCAGATTGAGGGATTTTGTTTGTGTCATTACTTGAGTGTCTGGAGCATTTCCCACCTCACCTGCTCCATCAGTGCTGTCCATGTCATGTCTTTCCATTTCCTCCTCACTTTCTGATGTGGAAAGAGTGTAGCTGTTGTTACCTCTTTTCTTTTGAGAGCATTCTCCTTGCATCAAATGTTGGCTTTCACACTCAGTTTCTGCTTGATTAGAGTTACGCACATTGCGAAGCCTTGTGTGATGTACACGAACACAAATGCCACCATGCCTGACAAATACAATCATACCATCTTGACCAATTACAGTGCCTGGTCCCTTCCACTCAGCACAATCCATACGCTTGTAATACACCTTGTCACCTACTGTGTATTTTGTGTCAGTATTTCGAATCTGTTTTCTCAATGCTCTCCTTATTCTCTCAGAGCATTCTATCTCAGTGAAAACTTTTCGCGCCGCATGTAATGCAGTGATGTGCTTCCCTACCCACTCAAGTGCAGGTGGGCTGTCAGTAAGGACCGAAGGAAGATTAGGATTGCGTCCAAAAATTAACTGGTATGGACTAAAGCCATGGACATATTCCATTGTGTTTTTTGCCATCAAAGCCCAATCTAGAGCAGTTTTCCAATCACTGTCATGATCCTTTTTGACTTTCAGCAGCACTTCTGTTAACATTCGATTATGCCGTTCGAGAAGCTCCATAGGCTGTATGCAACAGTGGTTTTAACTTCAATGTTAAAATTCTCAGCCATGTCTCGGACTTCGTCATTGTTAAATTCTCCACCATTATCACTGTACAGCTTTTGTGGTGGGCCATGCACAGCTATCCAACAGTGAATGAAGTGTTTCACAAACTCTGAGGATTTCTTTGATGTGAGGATGCTGCCAGCACTGAATCAAATGAAATGATCAATGACATGTAAGTACCATTTGCCATGTTCTAATTCGTGTAAGTCTACTGCAACAATTTCATTGTACCTAGTTGCCATTGGCAGGCCTACTGCTGGCTTCAACAGTGGTCTATTGCATTTTAAACATGTCTCAAAATTGTCTACTATCAGTTTCAAGATT